AAAAAAGTTCCACATTTTCCTTCAAATATTTTAATTTGCTAGTATTCATGCTAATTCTTCACAAAATTCAAATTTTCATATTCTATAAGTATCTTCTAAGACAAATAGTGACAGTATTGCCCATTTTTTGAACTTTGGTCTCCCACTGTAGCATTTGTTCTGCTATGCTATGACTATTTCTGAAGGACACAGAACTAACCCTGATTCCACAATGACCTCACTGAAATGTCAGTCATTCTTATTCTGTATATGTGCTGTTCAAGTATTGCTTCATTCACTGGCTGTGCAGGATACATGAGTAGTAAAGAAGAAAAGAGATAAGGCACATAGTCATCTGTTTATAAAAATGTTAAAAACTAAGGCCAAAAAATGAATTTGGACTGATGCAAATTTGGGGGCAAACTTCTATCATTGTAGTTATCTTTTGTTAAGATAGTAATTTTCACTTTTGAAATTGGTGTTATGTACATATGAAAGCTTTTTAAAATTAGAGGTTTAGTTTATTTGTTAGTAGAGAATACAGCTGGTTCTCCCCATCTTTCAAACTCGATTCACAAGCATGAGTGGCTAGAAATCATTTGTTTGTTACAGGGACACCCAGTAAGTGAAAATCAGGCTTTTTATTTTTTATTTTTTGGTCATTTGACACTGAGGAAGAAAGACAAAACTGTTGTTGAACCACAACATTGTAAGTCCAGTAATGACAATTCTGTTCTGAAGGTTTCGATTCTTATAACTACGGTGAATTCAGCTGGTTCCTTTTCAACTTAAGCTAAATCCTGACAACCAAAAAAGAAAGAAAAACAGTAAGAACTTATTGGTACCTTAGACAGAATCATTTAAAGGGTTTACTTACAATGTTTCTCCAAGCACTGAAATGTACAACAAAGTACAGTAATAAGACATTGCTACAATTTAGGCAAAAACTAAATGTTAAATCATTTCACGTAACACAAATGATTGCTGAAGAAAAAAGTTTACAGATTTAGTTCTTGCATGTAGTTACCCAGTTTTCTCATTGTACATCATACAGTTAGTGAAAACATTTCATCAATTTTGAAGCCACCTGTTTAGTCCTAAATCAAAATAACTTGCTTACCATGACATGCCCATTTTTCTTTCCTGGCTTCTACTTTAAAAATATTGCCAATTTTTTCACTAAAGACAATAAGACAATGAACTATTTTGCGTCATGTATATTTTCTTAAAATTATATTTGAAATTTGCTTTTTAGCTTAAAACCTTAGTACTTTTTAAAAGTATTGACTCATCCATCCTAGATGAATCCAGATTTAATCTTACCTGATTGATTTAATGAGACTTGGAAACAATATAATTTTTAAATGATTAACCAAATTGAATAGTGTTCATGTATTAGCTAATGTAAAAGAAGTATCTTTTAAGTAAGATTGCCTTTCATCTAACCAAAATAGGTTGTATAGTTGAGTTTGTGAATAAGAATTGATTTTTTTGATACCATTCTTTTTTCCAAAACAAAATGTAAAGTGGTTTCTATATTATGCTGTGAAGACATGTGTTCATGGAATATAGGTAGTCTTAAGGCAATTTGCTGGGGAATAAGTTTTAATGTGAAAAATGGAATGAGGAATTTTATAATTCTACAATTGTCTCTCCATAACTATCCCTGAATACCCCAGTGTGCCCTAAGTCAGCATAAGGGAGAGAAAAAAAGCTGCCCTAAAGTGGTTATTTTGAGCTTTGTATTTTAGGATAATGTTGATAGAGGAATAAACAACTAGAATGGCATGGATAGAGTACGAGAGAAAAAAATTTTTTCAGAAAGTAATTATTTATAATTCTATGCTCTTACACATTTATATGCAGTATATTATATATGTACTTCATGTAGAACCTGTGTACACGTACGTTTATCTAAGTGTATGTGTGACGAGGTATCTCCATTTTTGAAGAACCTAATTATAAACTATGGATTTGACAAAGTATTATCAATAAGAAACAACTCAATAAAAAAAGAACAAATGTCAAAACTGAAAACCAATCAAAGATAATGAGAATCAGCACATGACAACATGCTCCAATTCATACACCTTAGGAAAATCAGAACTAAAGCCAAGGTGAAATAATTGGACATACTTTAAATAAAAATGTGCACAGATTACAAATAATGGTAATACCAGTTGTTACTGAAACAATTGTAGAATTTTTACTTTCCTGAACTGTTGATACACATTGAAACTTTTACTATCTATTTATAACACAATTTGATAATTTCTTAAAATGAAAGAAATATACCTGCCCTAAAATACAACTGTTTAAATCCTGAGAAATTAATTTAATTCACTTAAGGCAAATTAAAATACAAGTCCATAGAATGGCATACAAATGATTGTTTTTATCAGTTTTGTTTGAATTAGGAAGGTGGGAACTAAACCAAGTGCCGTGACTACTTGGAAGGTAGAGATCAGGAGGTTCACTGTTTGAGATCAGTCCAATCCAATAAAAAGCTGGACACCCTCTTGCATGCTTGTCATCACAGCTACACAGGAAGCTTAAATAGTAGAATTCAGTCCGGACTGCCCCAAGCATAAACATGAGACCATATTAAAAAAAATTCCTAAAGCGAAAAGGGCAGGAGGCATGGCTCAAACAATAGAGCACCTCCTATCCAGTACAAAGCCCAATATTCAAACTCTAGAATCTCCAAATTTAAAAGAACAAAGAAAAGGGAAGTGGAAACTAATCAAGCCTAATAATGGGTGTACTGGTGTACAAATTGAGGGATATTCCTACAATGAGGATATTATTCCTCAACAAAAGGAATAAAATATTGAGATATGCAATAGGATGCATGAATCTCAACCATGGAAAGTAGAAGAAACAATATGTAAGATAATGCATACTCTATGATTTCACTTTCACAAAACTGTATAAAATGAAATTTCTTTTGTGCTAAAAAATGCCTACAAGTGTTTCCCTGAGGTTAGGTGATAAATAAAGTTAGAAAAGTGCCACAAGAAACATTGGGCAGTGACCTGTATGCACATCATTTGATTGTGGTGATTGTTTAACAAGAGTATATATATGGCAGGAAGGGAACTGAAAGTGAAAAAAAAAACCACTAATCTGTGGTATTATATCTTTACATTCATATCTACTGTCTTTTTCTAAGTGGAAGCTGTGAACAGCACCGAAGTCTCTCTCCAGACTCAATCCTTTGTTTTTGAGTATTTTAAGCTATCTAAATTCTTTTTGTCTATTCACTTACAATAGGCACTTGGTCTACAAAATTCTCCAGTGCTAAAAGGTTGCAAAGAAGTCTCAAAAGCAAACCATGAAACACTAATAGATTCAGGCAGAATGTGAGAGGATGGATAAATTGCTTCATTGTGGTATCCTTTTTACTATCTATAGACCCATATTGCATCATTCTGTACACTTTAAATATATATAACACAATTCATTTTTTTAAAAAAATTTGAAAAAAATCTTAATTTACATTTATAGTGAGCCTGTGTGTGGATTGCTGGAACACTTTGATTCCATTAGCAGTCTTTATAAAGTCAAAAATGTAAGTAGAAATAAAATTGATCTTATATTTGAGTCACATCTTCACTTTCAAAATGATGACTTGACTTACTGCTGTTAAAGAGCTGCCAACATTCATCTTCTAGCTTTCTCTGCTTAGTGAAGCACTAAAAAAGTATATTTAAAAGTAAACACTGCAGTATGTACATGTTATCTTTGTTATTGGTGTATATTACATTATACACAGTATGGGGTGACAAGATAGCATTCCACACATGCTTATGATTCGTCTTGATTTTATTCACCCTCTTCTGACACTCTTCATTGTCCTCTTCCCTTCCAATGTCTCTTCCAGTCCTACTTTCCCACTAGCCCCCCCCCCCTTTTATATTCATGACCTTTGAGAATGGTGGAGAGGGTGAATTCAAGTATGATGTATTTGATTTGTTGTAGGAACATTTGTAAATACCATGATTTACCCCCACCCACCACAATATTTCAAAGAGAAAGAGTTGAAATAATTAAATGAAAATTGCTTGGGGGCCGCAATTAAAAAGAGGGAAGAAAAATATGCAAAATATGCCTTTCTTCACCATATATGAGTATTGTGTTATACCATATGTCCTCACGGAAAGTGACTATGAAAAGAGATAAACACATTCTTATGTCTCTTTTTCAGTCAGTGTTATTATGGAAACATTCTACAGTGCTCCATAGCCACTGAAATAAATCTGAATATAATGCAATGCTTACCAATACTGTAAACACTCTAGATTTTGCCAGGATTGTATAGAAGGGTGCAGCAACATTCATTTATTGATTCACTAATTTAATCATTTTCTCAAAAAGAATTCAGTAACCACTTTTCCAGGAACTGTAAAATCAAATAAGAATGTCAGAAAACACAGGTATAGACACTTGGGTAAATTATTATTAATCTATTTTTGGTAGAAGATTCCTATACTGCCAACATCTACACTAGTTAGGAAAGGAGGATGACAAGTGTGAGGTCAGCCAGGCCTGACTAACAATACCCCATCTCAAAATAAATACAATAACTATTTGGAATGTGGATCAAATGTAACATACTGGTTTCATGCCACTCACTGCAAAATATATAAAGGACTAAATAAAAGAATAAAATATAAACAAATGAATAAAATATGAATAAATAAAAAATATAAAGAATAAAAATATCAATAAATGAATAAATTTTCATTAAATATAAGCCACAAAATATAACATCTCAAATTGTTTTTCTTTTACAGAATAAAGGTAACACATATTCAAGTTTTAGTTGTAAGAAAATATTATCCTCAAACTGAACTACTGACAAAAGATGAAGGTGTAAGCTACTTTATATCCAAACAGTAAATTTCAGTAGATTACATGACAAGCAGGAAGGAGCTACCTTCACAAGGTAAGAAAGTAGAGAATCAAAATTTTTGATAAATGAATGACAAAATAAAGCAATTCCAAGTTAACCCAAGGCACTATGATTTAGATAATAATTTTCTCAGAGCTGCAATCACCTCCTTGTTCCTAAGACTGTATATCACTGGATTGAACATGGGTGTCACGATGGTGTAGAAAAGAGAGAACACTCTGTCAGTTCCTGCAGAATGGTTGGATTTTGGCTTTAAATAAGTAATGCTAGCAGATCCATAAAATAGAATGACAACCAGAAGGTGTGAAGAACACGTGGAGAATGCCTTACCCCTTCCTGTGGCTGTGGGCAACCTCAGAATGATGGAAATGATTTTGCTGTAAGAAACAAGTATCAGCATAAAAGGGTCCACAGCAAACAACATAGATACTGCATAGGCAGATAGCTCATGCACAGAAGTGTCCCCACAGGCCAGTTTAAGAATAAGGGGTATGTCACAGAAAAAGTGTTCAATTTGGTTAGAATTACAGAAATGCAGAGAGAATATCTGGCATGTTTGCCCTATCTGGATCGGAATTCCACTCAACCAGGAGCCAGTGGCCAGCTGGATGCACTTCTTTGAATTCATGACTAGTGTATAGTGCAGAGGATTGCAGACGGCCATGTAGCGGTCATAGGACATCACAGCCAGGAGTAAACTTTCAGTGACTGCCAGTGTTAGGAAAGTACACATTTGAGTGGCACAGTTCAGCAGAGAAATGCTTCTGTCCTGAGTCCAAATGCTGACCAGAATCCTGCGGTCTGTGACTGATACATAACAGATTTCCAGGGAAGAAAAATTTGCTAGGAAAAAATACATGGGTTTCTGCAGGGAAGGGTCCATCTTAGTTATTATTATTAGAAAACTGTTTCCAACTAGGTTAATTATGTAAATAATGGAGAATACTCCAGATAGTAACCATTGGAGATTTGGTATATCAGAGAATCCCAGCAGGACAAACTGCTTCACTGTGGAAACATTGTCTTCTACATTTATCTCTTCAGGGTTCATCTGTGGGAAAAATTTGATCAAATGTACAAGTCATTTCATTCTTTTCACTATTTATTTTCCTGCATATAATCTAACATTACCACATGTTCTTGTTTTACACGTCACCTGCAATAACAAAAATTTTAAGTGTTCTAGAAGTTTAATTAAGTATACCTTTCATTGTTAATAAATGCATATATTAATATTTCAGGTTTTTACAATCTAAAGGCTATTACATTTACTGTTTGATAATGAGATATATTGCTTTAAATTGTGCTATTCATTTGAACATCTACAATTTCAAAATCTGAATCTATCTTCAATATAGCAATGTTTCCATTTTTAAGTTGCCATGTTTTTTCCCCAACTCCGTTTTACCTAATTATTATTAATTCAAAATTCATTTCCCTGTTCAATCTTTTTTATGACAGTATTGGGGTTTGAACTCAGGGTTTAATGCTTACTAGGCAGGTGTTTTATGACTTGAGTCATTGCACCAGAAGTCCTTAGTCAATCTAACTGTTATCATGTATTTTCAGAGAAGAACATATTTAATGTTTTAAATTATGGTCTTGCTGTAGTATTTCCAAAATGTTGTTGAGCTGTGATGTTCTATTTTTACTTAATTATTATTAAAATATTATTGAGTTGTTAAATATTATATAATATTATTTAATTTAAATTGTGTTTGAATATCACTGTAAGGTCTATGAAATCAGCAGAGAAAATTTATTCATATTTTACAGTGTAGAAAAAGTTTGTTATCTGTTTGGAGTGCTCAGAAAGTAATTCTAACTAGAATGTGCACATTTGAATTGCATGCTGTTTATATAACAGTTGATCTAGAAGAACTCATTTCTGTGGATGTCCTAAATCACTCACTTCTTCAATAATTATTGATTTTGCTGACATCAGTTACTCTATTCACGCATTTCCCTTGAATGTGCTTGTTGATGCATGAGAGTTTATTACAGTGTAGGTATTGGCTTTTATTATTTATTTTATTATGCTATTTCCTTACCTATAGGACTAGATTATAAGTTTCTTTTGATTGTCTTAACATTTTATTTGAAAAATACACCATATTGTTTCACAAAATTTGATTTCCTAAGTTCTCAAATAAATTACTAATAAGTCAAATTATTTGCTTATCTGGAATAGTTTCCAAAGTAGAAGACATGATTCCTAGCCAAATGCAGACTCACCTTACTTGTGTGGCTGTGTGCATCTTCATTAGGTTGATGAGTGGGAGTGAGGGTGTGTAAGAATAATTATAATTTCATTTCCTATTATTGTGATAACATCTGAAATCATCACTTTGGTATAAGCTAGATCACATGTGCATCATTTGGTAAGTAAATCTGAAAACCAAAGGGAATAATTCACTCCAAGGAGGAGATACACTGAAAACCATATACTAAAACTGGTAGGTCTGGACACTTATTAGATATGAGCTGCAAAAGCATGTTGACACACATGTGATGTATCAACATTGAGTGCCATATGTGAGCATCCATAACTTTTCTGTGATGGAGAAAAGAGAAGATAAATATTAATTTATTTTGTCATCTACAATATTCTAGACAAAATTTACTTAAATATTTGATGACTTCCATAGTTTTGCAAATCTGTTGAAAAAATTTATTTTAGAGATTTTCAAAATGCCATAGCATGATCTCAGAACAGTGAGAGCAGAGTGGTGGTGATCAGAGGTTTGAAGAGCAAGGAGAGGTGGGACTAGGTTGGTTTGAAGTTACTAAATTATAGTTAGAAGTAACAAAATTTTGTCTGCCATTGCACCATAGAGTCAATGTAAAAAATGGTATTGTACTGTTATTCAAAAAAGGAGAGCTCCAAGAAAGGATTTTGGACACATTCACCATTAAAAATTATAAGCAAATGAAGAGACAAGTATATCATGATTTCAGCATTTCATATTGCACACATCTATTAAAACATCACACAGTATACCATAAATAGGAGAAATTTTTTATCTGTCAGGTAAAAATAAAAACAAAGAAAATGAAAAAGAGAAATAGATACTTTGATACAAAATATGATGTAATAGGGTTTGTAAGATGGCTACAAATCAGTACTAATAATGAAATTATTAAGACAAGATTTTGGATTAAGATCACACAATTACTTTTTCAATATGCTATACTATGGTCCCGTAGCCCTATTTCATTCACATAGTTATTTCAAATTAATACAATATGGAGATCAGTACAGGGATAAAGGTCAAAACAAACTAGGAACCTGTTTGCTGTAGGTGGTTATAATGCAAAAGCATCTCAATAACATCCATTCATTTATTTTCTCATTCTTTTTGTAATATTCTGCTTCTATGAGATACACTCACCAGATTGATATATGTATAATACATGAACAAATATATGCTCAACATATAATATTTACCTAATAAATGTAAACATTTAAGCGTAGATAATGAAATTGTTGCTAATCTTTAATATATGGGCTTAATATGTGATAAAGTATGTTTTGTTCTTATGTGATCTTCTAAAATAAAATTCAAGATTTTCTGATTCAGTGTTTTGAAATTTTAACAATTCAATGAAATTAATTGAAAATTTTCTGTAATTAGGTTTTTTTTATCTTAAACAGATAATTGTAAAATGAATTTCTATTAGAAAAATGTAGCTCATTCTAACCTATACCTACTTTCATTGGCTTTATATAAAGTAACAGAGAAAGGAGAAAGCAGATTTTAAGATTGGCTAATTTAGGTATTAGAAAGGGAAAGTACTTACCTCTCAACTACACCCCGTTGTCAGAACTAACAACATTCTTAGGTTGTAACTCTCTTCTACCCTGGGGATCAACTCCCTTCCCAGGTCACTTTCTAATTGAACCCTTCTGTCTGCCACTCAAGAAGTTTGCTTCAACGTAAAAAAAATATTGGCCCTCTTCTTTGAATTTTCAAGCTCTTTTCCTTCATCCTGATTATTAAAAAATATGTGCCTTGAAAATGTCACATCAGTATAATAATATGTAATTTATGATGTTGACTAGGATATTCTTTAAAATGGTACAAATAAATAATGTCTTTATCTAGAAATAATTTATTTTTCTGCCTTTGAAAACGATCCACAAGACTCTGGTTAAGGTGGCAGAATAATGTAGAGGCACGCTCTCCAATTCATTTTTAGGAATGCAAACTGAAAATGGTGTGTATAATTTCCAGATGCAATTTGTCACAAAAAATTCAGTCACAAAAGCTCACCAAGTTGGAACACAGCAAAAAAAAAAAATAAATTTCCAGCTGACCTTCCATAAGACCAGCTAAGACTGTCAATAACAGCCATTTGACAATTGTCAAATTCCAAGTATTCACTGTAACAAATGCACAGTTACGAGACAGTTCAGTTTAAAGTTGTTCTTTCTCATTGTAACAATTATTAAATAATTTAATACATTTCTGCAATATTCACAAATGTAAACATACATAGATACATGCTCACAAAATATAATGGCCCAGCTTTAGAATGCAGGAATAGATTTACACAAAATAAGAGATTAGTGACTAAACAGAGAGACAAGCATATTTTAGAATCATTGTGCCTATACATTGAAAGGTCTAAGTATTCACAAATTATATATTTATTCCCCAAATTTTTGTTATATCTTTTTGTGATGCATTTTATTTCATAATTGTTCTACTTATTAAAATATTTGTGTAGCACTGTCATATTTTGGGTTTGATTTGAATTTGAACAATAATGATATTTTCATGTGATTAGTTGACATCTCTTGGGTAGGCTATATATTTAATATTATATTTACTTATTCAATTTTATGAATAAATACTATACATTCATTCAATTATTTATAGATTGACTTGTTTTGTAAAAGGGTATCACTATATAGTTTAATTTAGTTTGGCCTTATCCTTGTGATCCTATTGCCTCATCTTGTCCAGTGCAGGGATTATATCTTCCATACCATGCTTGGTTCTACTCAATTACCTATCAATTAATTCATCAATTTTCTTATCTATTCTTTAAATTATTAAATAATAATTTTATTGTTAAGTTTTGGGAGTTGTATGAATATTCTTTGCACATTTCGTTTTTAAGGTAGTAATTTGCTGATGTTTCTACAGTCTTTACTTTTATTCTTTTCAAAATGTCATCACAAGAAACTATTTTAATTTTGATGACGTCCAACTTGTATTTTCTTTTATAGATCACTCTTTGCGCAACAAACTTCAGAAATATTGCCTAATCCACATCATGAAAAATCACCCTCACATAATAATTCTATAGAACAGGTTTTCAAATTTTAAACAAACCTTTGGTGTTAGATTCATGTGTGTGTTTTTGAGCATGCATGCATGAATGGTGAATGGATACTCATTCTTCCAATGTCATTTTTATATAAAAACAGCTTTCATTCACAGGAATATAGATGTGCCAATTTAAAAAATTAGTTTCTTACACTTCTTCAGCGGTCAAATGGCATCAGAAAAATGATGAAATTGGAAAAACAGTCAATTATACTAATGAAAATAGCAAAGGCATACAGAAAATTGTGAGGTATTAAAAAATAAAAATGAGAATCCAAAGAACATTCAAAATCTGTTAGATTTTGCTACATGGCTACACTCTACCACACACTCTCAGTTACATGGAAAAGATCTGCCAGGTTTGTAGATGCAAAGTAGTATGGCAGTTTTGTTATCACTATTGAGAAAGGTTCATGTTACTTAAAATAGTATGGAAACACTATTTTCAGTGTTATTGTCAACAATTATAAAAACTTTCCTGACAAAGCATAAGAAAAGAATCATTAAATGAGCCCTTAGGATTCTATATCATATTGAGGTATTGACAAAGTATTTAAAATGAGGGGTGAGATAAGATAAATGGGGGAGAAGAGATATAATTCAGGTGTTGATGAAGTTCTACTTATTCTTAGTAATCAGAAGGACTGGGTTTAAGTGCAAGGCTTCACACACTACAGACAGTACTTACTAGGAGAATAGCACACTTTTGATAAAACTAAAGCTATTGTAATTGTGTGAGCTAGATTTTCATCTCTATGAAAAAATACATAAAAGAAACAATTTGAAAAGAAGATAAGTTTCATTGTGGCTGATAATTTCTGAAGTTTATGTTCATGGCCACCTGTCTTTACTGCTTTTATAACTGATTGAGGCTGAACAATGTATGTGACAGACAAGAACACTGCCCAATTAATGGTGACCAGGAAGAAAAAGGAAAGAGAGATGTAGGTAGATAGAGAGATGCAGGAAACAGATGAGAAACAGATGGAGAGCTGAGAGAGAAGACAGAGACATAGACAGAGAAACAGAGAGTGTGAGAGGAAGAGTTCTAAATTCACTATCCCCTAAAAGGCACGCCACTATGCCCTGCTTCCTCCAACTAGTCCGATCTCCTCAACTTTGCACCAACTCACACTAGTTCAACAGGATGGAGAGCAGGCCTTCAACATTTGCCCAATTGGGGCACTTCAAATTCAAATCAGAATAATTAGTGGAATTTAAATAATCCAATGTGTACATAAATAGGTTTCTTTGCAAAGGTAATTGATATTATGGTATATTCCTTTCCTCAAAAATAGCATTGTGTGATTATCTCAATGAATTTAAACATGCAATGCAATAGAGTTAGCAATTTCTTTAAGAGCTTTCTCTAGGTATAGTTTACACTTTACTGTTTTTGTTAACAAGATTTTTCCAAATGTTCTTTTTTTGCATCCTCGGTGGATATTTGCAACTTATAACAACCCTTTAAATTAATAACAAAGAGTATGTTATCACCATTTTACCTAGTATAAATGTTGTAGGGAAGGTAATTAAATAACATTTAACTACTCAATACTCTACTTAAAGGTAGATTAATATTCAGTTATCTTTTACTAATTTCAGATAACAAAGTGCTAACAGAAAGTTTCTACAATCATCATTGTGTTTCTCATTCAGACTATTGCTGACATGGTCTTTCTCATGCACCATGTGCTGCTTCTTAAAGCATTTAGAACATTTAATGATATATACATATATTTTTCATGATTACATATGTGTCCTTAAGTACATGTAATACATCTAGCTAGATGGTAAAGGATACAAATGAGTAGATGATGGAGAAGTATAACTGAATATATGGCAGGCACTAACATTACCTTGTGCACATTGTACAATCATACCAAAAATTACAAAATGGAATATCAGATGAACTAAAAACTCATAAAGAGTTGCTATATGAGAATCTAGTAGAGGTGAGTGAACATTTATAGCTCTATTGATTTATGTTCACTTTTCTGAATGATATCATTTGAAATATTTAGTAATTATAACCATTTAGCAAGGGTTACTGTGCACCTGTGTGGGCTTCAGAATCCCAGAATGACTTTGATCAATTTCCTACTCATTTAAATTCAGAATTTTTGTTAATACGAAGGTTTAAAAAATAGCTATTTGGATAAATCTAATAAAGATATAAAATACTTTAAAACAAATTTTTAAGAAGAGTAACAAAGCAGAAATAAATCTGCAAAATAAAACCTTGTGATCAAGACAATGCATATGCTTTCAGAGGAGGTTATAAGGCAGATAGTTAGGCACATGCTTCTTTCATTTTTTTTGTATTATGGAAACATTCTGAGTTGGTGGAAAGTGAGTGAAATAAATGAATTCCAATGCTTATTGATGATATAAAATCTCTACATTTGCTACAACTCTGTCATTGTCAGGAAACATTGGTTTATAAGTTCTCTCATTTACTCAATAACTGCTTATATTCAAATGTTATTTGAAACTACTGTTCTGTATACTAGATTATCAAAGAAGAATATCAGCAAATACAGGTATGGACAATTAAGAGACTTGGTTTTCATTATATTTAAAGCACAAGATATAATATTTTGAATTGTGCTCATGTATTTAAAGGGAAAAGGTGGCACACATTAAAACTGTATGTATAAGAAAGTGTTTTCTTTAATCATTATCACTAAAGATCAAAGAATGACTGCTATCTATACAAACAGGGCAAATTTCAAGTTAATAGTTACATGTAACAGAAGTAGACTATAAGCTACATTTGATTACATTCCCTGAGAGATGAAACAGAAATTCAAAATGTTCCTCTATTAACTTTGTGACAAAAATGAAACTATTCTGTATAAATCCAAAGGACTATGTTTTAAGTAATAATTTTCTCAAAGCTGTTATCACCTCCTTGTTCCTAAGGCTGTATATCAGTGGATTGAAAATTGGAGTCACTACTATATAAAAAAGAGAGAACAGTTTGTCAGTTCCTGCAGAATGATTGGATTTTGGCCGAAAGTAGGTAATACTAGCAGATTCAAAAAATAAAACCACAACCAGCAGATGGGAAGAACATGTGGAGAATGCTTTAGCACGTCCTCTAGCTGTTGGCAGTGTCAGAATGGTAGAAATGATTTTGATGTAAGAAACAAGTATCAGTGTAAAAGGAAAGGCACCAACCAACATACCCACTACATAGACAGACAACTCATGCATAGGAGTGTCCCCACAGGCTAGTTTGAGAATGGGCGGTATGTCACAGAAGAGGTCAATTTGGTTAGAATTACAGAAATGCAAAGAGAATATTTGACATGTTTGCCCTATCTGGATTGGCATTCCACTGAGCCAAGATCCAGCTAGCAGCTGGATGCACTTCCTTGGGTTCATGAAGAGAGGATAGTGCAGAGGGTTACAGATGGCCATGTAGCGGTCATATGACATCACAGCCAGGAGGAAGCTTTCAGTGGTTCCCAGTATAAGGAAGAAACACATTTGAGTGGCACAGTCCAGCAGAGAAATACTTCTATCCCTTGTCCAAATATTGACCAGAATCCTGGGGAGAGTGACAGATACATAACAGATTTCCAGGGAAGAAAAATTTGCCAGGAAAAAATACATGGGTTTCTTCAGTGCAGGGTCAAGCAGGGTTATCATGATTATAAGGCTGTTTCCAATTAGAATAATTATGTAAATTATGCAGAACACTCCAGATAGGAACCCTTGGAGGTCTGGAAGCTCAGAGAATCCTAGCAGGACAAAGTGCTTCACTGTAGAAACATTGTCTTCTGCATTTATCTCTTCATGGTTCATATGTAAGAAGATTTCGTCAGAAGTAAGTGTCATCTCACTGTCTTCAGAATTGGCTTTTTTATGTATATCAAGTGATGGCACACATTCTTTTTTTTCCCTTTCCCTATAACAATAAAAACCAGGTTTTCTAAAATTATAGGTAAGAGTATTTTTCACTATCAATAAATATCTATATGAAAAATTTTGGTTACTTTTTTCTTTTAAGAGTTTTTGGATTTACTTTTTTATTAGGATAGATATTTTCATACTATTGTTCATTTCATTACCCAGAATCTCAAAATCTGAATTTATTTTCTATATAATAATACTTTTCTTTAGCTTGCATGTTAAATTCCTCACTTCCCAAATCTATGTTATATTATTATCAATTCAAAATTTATTTCAACATTCAAGTATATATTTTATATGGCATTTAATACTTTTTAGAAATTAAAGTAGTATTGTATAGGTATTGTAGCTATGGATTTACCACGGTATTTTCAAAGTCTTGTTCAGTTTTTATGTTCTGCATACCTATGCAATTTTCTTATTAACAAATTATATTACATGATCATGTGTTATGAAATATTGTCACTCTCATGTATTATAAAATATTGTTTAATTTAAAAATTGTATTTATATAATTGCGTGGAAGTTCTATAATTCTGGTCAGGTTTTACAGTAAAGAGAAAAATAAACATAAAATGATTTCTGTCCAGAAAGCATATAAAGTAAATCTAAATCTAACTAATACATGTTTGTATTACATGTTTGTTACACAAAGACATATCACGCAATACTCTTCTCCTTGATTGTTCAACATCATTTACTGTCTCATTAATTGCTGCTGTTTTCAGATCTCATTTAGTCCACTCAGTCATTTTAATTATGCATATATGTGTTTATGCTTCCATACATATATGTGTATTGGGTTTGATTATTTTTATTATGTTCTTTCTTCATCTCTAATCTAGATGATAAGTTTTTCCATAGTATCCACATTTTATGTGCAATATGCAATATAGTTTTTTCACAAAATTTGATTTACTAACTTACTGAATAAATGTCTAACAAGTCAAATGTTTTCCTCTTTGAAATAGTCCCCAAATGTGAGGAAAGTAAGACCCCAGGCAAGTTTCAGACTAAGCATGCCTTACCTCTATATCTTTGTGCAGGTTTATAAGATGGGTGAGTGAGACTGAGGGTGTGCAGACATTATTGAGGTTTCTTCTGGTCTTAAAGAAGTCGCATTACCCCTCACTGTTTTTAGATGAACTGGGTTACGTCCACACTATTTGGTACATAATTTAAAAGCCAAACATGACTAACTCATTGCAAGAAGGAGATACATCATGAGCCAGGGCTCATAAGTCATAAAGATGAGAGCTTCAAAATCACAGACACAAATGAGGAGGTGGGAGCAGAGAGCACAAAAGGTGTGCATCCTCAGAATTTTCTGTGATTGAGCAAAGGAAAACTAATGTGAGTTATAGTTAGAAGTAAAAAGTTCTGGTCTGCTATTGCATAATAGGGTAAATATAGGGAACAATATTTTACTGATATTAAAAATGAAAAGTACACCAACATATTTCAGTCACCAAAAATAACCGGTAAATATTTGATTAGTGAGGTACTCTTATTATTACACAGTGCACAGACATATCAAACCATCACAAGTTACATATTAATATGCAGAATTTTTACATATTAGTTAAAAACAAAAGCAAAGAGTTAGAAAGACAAAATATGAAATAGAATTGTCTGTCCCTCCAGTGATGTAATTAAGTTTCCCAAATGGCCACAACTCACTGGCTAACAGTTACACATTAATATATGATTTCAGCATAAAAATGACTTTTTTCTTTGTATGATCTTAATTTTTTAAAATAATATTTCATTCAGGTATTCAATTTTATCCAATCAAGAGACTTAGACAGGAGCAATGGTCAAAACAAACAAGGAATTTTTGACAAAGGAGGGAGGAATGCAAATCCATTTCAACAACATGCATTCACTATCTTGCTCATTAGTTATTTGAAATTGTTCTTTTTATGAGCTACTAACCTTAGGCCTGGTATATTTATATGCTTGTGTGGGTTAAGCATACATTTTAGTTATATATGTTACACACATTAATCACTTAATATGTTAATATTTAAATGACAATGATTAAATGATTTTAATCATTAATATCTGGGTTCACTGTGAGATCAGGCACTTTGAGTTTTGATCTCATATAATCTTAGAATAATTTCTTTCCAAAATTTTACAAAGGTTATCTGAACTAATGTTTTGAAATTTAAAATAATCAGTTAAATTCTTTTACTATTTCTTGCAATTAAATTTACTGATGCTAAGATATGAATAATTTGTTAAAAATAAATTTTTATAAGAAAAATGTAGTGCACGCTTACATATTTGGGTGGGGGTTAAATACTATACTTATCTGTATTGGCTGAATAAAATAGAGAGAAAGGAGGAATCAGATTTTCAAAATGTAGGTAACTTAGTTTATTTGAAAGAGAATGTACCTAGCTCTCAAATATCTTCTATTGTCATAATCCAAAATGTTCCTAAGTACTACCTGTTCTCTACTCTGGGGATTGCCTCCTATTCCATGCTTCCTTCTAATTGAATGAAACCATTCCCCTTGCAACTCAGTGAGGTTTCTTCAACCACCAAAATTTCTGTTACACCTTTTCTTCTTTCAATTCTCCTATTCTGTTCTTTTTTTGTGTGATTATTAAGAAATATGAACATTGAAAATGTAACTAAATTATAATTTTATGTTATTTACAATTCAAACTGAGATATGTTTTAAAAGATGCAAATGTGCAATGCATAAAGTAGAAAGAATGATAGTTTCTGTCATTGAAAAGTGAGATGTTAGACTTCTAGGGCTGTTAAGGCACTTCTATGACCTTTAACACGAGTCTTCCTTCTCCCTGTTCACGCCGGCCAGCAGACCTCAGAATCTACCAGAACATGGACGTGGGAACAGAGCAATGGACAGAAGCCCTCGCCTATTCGTTGTTAAGTGAACAGATTGGACATGAGCATCAGAATTTCCAGATACAAAAATTTAAAGGAGGGGGTGAAAAGAGAGGTGACACAAAACTGTATACACATGTAAGTAAAGGCAAAAACAATAAAAGGAGAAAGAAAAAAAAATCACAAAAAAGCCCAAAAATTTAGTCAGAAGAGCACACTCATTTAGAAAAGAGGCTAGAAAATGTAAGTTTCAGTTGAAGGGCCATGAGACCAGCTAAGACTGCATTTCTATCATTAACGGCCCTCAATTGTGAAAATCCAAACTTCCAAGTAATGACTTACCAAGTGCATAGTCTAATACCAGCTTGAGTTCATGGAGGCATCTCATTGTGATGATTAAAAAACAATGAGAATTTATATCACCCAAATAAACAGAAATATGTAGATATGTGCACAAAACATTCAACAGAGAAGAATGTTTGATTTAGCGTTATGAAGCAGGAATACATTTACACAATTTAAAAATTAATGACTAGATACAGGAAAGAAAATGTTTTAGAACTATACTGCATAAGCCGGCACCTGTGGATCGCAAAGGTAATCTGATCTGCCTGGGAGGCTGAGATCAGGAAGATGATGGTTTGAGGTCAGGCTGAGCAAAACTTCATGAGGCCCCAACTCCAAAACTAGCAGAGCAAAATGGAAGGGAGGATTGGATCCAGTGGTAGAGTGCCTGCTTTGCAATCACGAAACTCTGAGTCCAACCTTACTTTCCCCCATCACTGAAAAAGAAAAAAACATCATGGCTATACTTAAATCCTATCAGTTTTTGAAGGTTCTATATTCATTCAATGTTTTTGAGCTTTAACAATTTTTTACTTATTTGGTCATACTCGTAGCTATTAAAATATATGACCTCATTTGTGTCGAATTTGAGTATTAATTAAGTTTAATGATATTTGGCCATTTTTAGGTAATTTTGTGTATTTTACATGTTTTCTTGGGTAAACTCTTGGGCACATTACTATATTAAGTTGCTTCATTTCTTACTGGTAAGTTTGGAAATCCTTTAATATGTATGAATATTTCCCTTGTTACAAAAGCGATTTGCAAATGATTCCCTAGTTTGAATTCTTTTCAAAATGTCATCATCAGCACAAACTATTTCAATTTTGATAAAGTCCAATTTATAAATATGTTTAATACATTGCGCTTTGGTAACATTCTTAGAATACCTGCCACAAGGATTTACTTTCATATTTTTTCAACTAATTTTATTGTTTGAGGTTTTAAATTTAAATATGATGATAATTTTTGTATAAGGTTTAATTTTTCATTAGTGTCTTTCTGTGTATTTGTTCAACCTTTTCTATGTAATTCACTTTTTTCCAGCTTCAAATGCAATTTTCTAGGGAAAAAAAAACAAAGACAAGTTTCAATCACAGGAACATAGATGTGCCAAGGTCAAAAAGGAACTTCCCACACTTTCTCAATGGGTGAATGAGTTCAGAAAAAATGATATAATTGGACAAAATTCTCAACTACAATAAAAAAATCTTAAATAGAACTAAACTCAAACAGCAAATCGTTATATTTAAGAAATTATAGCCAACATCCATAAAAATATTCATGATCTCTTAGGATGTTGGACATGGCTGTATCACCAGTTTGCACCTACGTAGAACAGGATCCCTGTCAGGTCTGATTATTTCAAGAAGACTAACAGCTGTGTTCACTGCTGTAATTGGCTAATGTTACTTAAAACAGAGTATGGTAGTAAAACTCCGCAAACAACCAGTTAGTTATTTTCCCATCACGCCTTTAGATGACATTAACAGAGAAAAGCAAATGTGGGCCTTTTGGTAGTTCTTTCCCCAGTCCATCAGAGCATACATGACCTCTAGGCACCAGTAATCTGACGTGCACAACACTTGAAAGGATTTACATATCCACATTAAATTCAGATAGTACTTTAGATAGAGTCTAGTCTGAATCAAGTTCCCCATCCCAAGAGAATTATCCATATACTGCTCTCTTTGATAGACATTGCTATTGAATACCTC